ACAAGGGGGGGGCTGGGCCTCGGCACAGAGACAGGGGGGACGACAGGCAGGGTGGGACACGGGGGGAAGGGGCGGCAGCAGCAGCAGCAGCAGCAGCTACTGGAACCATCAGCAGCAGCAACAGCAGCAGCACTATCGGCACGACCAGCAGCGGTGGCAGCAGCAGGAGGGGGGCGGAGGGGCATGGGGCCGGGTGTGGTCGCAGTGGGGGCGCGGGGGATGGGTGGCGGCATTGCGTCGAGGCATGGGCCCTGCTGACCTGGCCTTCCATGCCGCCATTGGCAGGTGGGCATGGATGGGCATGGGATGGGCATGGATGGGCATTGGGTGGGCATTGGGTGGGTATGGGGTGGGCATGGGGTGGGCATGGGTGGGCATGGGGTGGGCATGGGGAGGGCGTGGGGTGGGCATACGAGGGGTGGGCATGGGTTGAGGGCATGGGGTGGGCATGGGGTGGGCGTGGGGTGGGCGTGGGGTGGGCATGGGGTGGGCATGGGGTGGGCATGGGGTGGGCATGGGGTGGGCATGGGGTGGGCATGGGTTGGGCATGGGTTGGGCATGGGGTGGGCATGGGAGGGGTGGGATGCATGGCAGGAAAGCCTGAGAGGCGGGAGTTAGTGCATGACAGCCATGCGATGATGCGATGCGATGATGTCATACGATGCTGCATTATTGCAATCCTGGACTGCCCTGTACTCACTCACAGCCCCTGAGGATGTACACACCAATGCCACCCTACCATACATGCCCTAGGTCCTGGAGACCGTTCCAAAACCTCTGTACCATCTCCCTCCTCCTCTCTCCTGTCTTCCTCTCCCCTGAGCTTCTCTCTCTGCCATTCCATCCCGTTCCTTCATCCAACTCCCTCATGCCTCGTCCCCCCAATCTCCCGTCCCCCCCCCCCTCCCAACGCCCGCTTGGCACTTGGCGTGATGTGTCACCTCCCTGGCCATGTCCTGATTCCTCGCTGCAGCTTGCCCTTGGGTCACACATGCTCCCTTGTACTACCCGCACCATGCCCTCGTTCACCCCACACACACACACCTCTGCTGTCCCTGCATCTTGCCAGTCTGCTCGTGGGAGGGCTTGTGCTGGGGGGAACGGCCGGGGACTACCTGTGGGCGTCTGCCAACAGGGGGGTGAGCGCCGTGCCCGATGGGATGTGGTGGTGATTGTGGAGGTGAATGGTCGGACGGGGTTGGAATGGGGCAGGTCTCAAGTGTGATTGGCGCAGGTCAGGAATATGCTGGGATGGATGGTAGGGGATTTCCTGTGGGCATCTGCCAACAGCGATGAGTGGCGTGCCCCATGGAAATGTGGTGGTGATTGTGGAGGTTAATGGTGTGCACGTGGCAGGTCAGATGCGTGATTGGCGCAGGTCAGAAGTATGCAGGGAGGAGTGGCCGGGGACTACCTGTGGGCGTCGGCCATTAGAGGGGGTGTTGTGACCCCTGGGATGTGGTGAGGCGACTCCTGAGTTGATGTATGAGTCACCTGCTGCCTAAGAGGGGTGATTGCTGTGTCCTGTGGGATGTAGTGGTGTGGTTGCGTGAATGGGGGCAGGCCATAAGTGCGAATGGGGCAAGCTAGATTTGTGTATGAGGCAGGTCAAAATTGCTATCGGGCCAATCCAATGGTGTGATGGTGACGGTGCATGCGGCATGCGTTTTTATGTGTTCTAGCATTGTTGCCATGGCTTCGACAAGCTTAAACGTTTGTCTGCATGTGGTGGCATTTCATTATGACTTGTGGATCTTGTTTAGCCTGGTATATTGCCTTTTGTGCACAGCACAGCACTGCACGGTGCCTCCTTCCAATCTTCATGCGGCGGTTTTGCTTGTTTGACTTGCTTTTTCTCTTCGTTTGCAACGCCATTTGTGCGCATCTTCCACTTGTGATGAGGTTGTGATGGGGTTGGCATGGGGTTGGCATGGGGTTGGGATGGGTTGGGATGGGTGAGCAGAAGTCATTTGAAGAGGCCATGGAGCGGATAGATGCAAGGAGGCCAGTGCCTCTCATGGCAGATGGTGCCAAAACCACTGATAATGCTGCTGCTGCTGTGGCCGATGCTGCCACTGATGCTCAAGACACTGGCTAGGAGGACGCATGACATTTTAGAAGGAAATGTGAGCCACAGCCTTGCATGTTTGAAACACACAGTGCAAGCAGTCATCTGTACATAAATGCATCGCATGCCCACACCGCATATATCTAACACGGACTAGCAAAAAGCAGGCTGGCAGGATATCAATTCGTAAGGAGTTTTTGCTGGCGTCTCAGTTCCTCTACACTCGCCACCACTTCACATGAACTCTATAGCGAACTTAATTTTCTCTCCTGGTCATTTGCACTGCAGCCAAGGTTCGAGTCATGGTGAGATTCTGAAATTCTCCTCCCTAGGGAATACATGCTGCTTCTCTCCCCGCCATTGTCGGCGTTGCTTGCTGGAAGCGCCGCTCAGCGGCACGGTTCTTAATCCTATCTTCTAGCTCCGATTTGAGCGCCAGTTGTCCGTTGCTTCTCATGGGTTCTCACCCCATCGCACAGCCCATCGCACAGCCCATCGCACAGCCCGTCGCATCCGTCCGTGCGAGTTCTCCATCGCCCCGTCATCGCCTCGTCGCATCTCCCGCACCGCCCGGCCCTCCCCTTCGCCCAAGCCTCGCCGCTCCGCTGAAGATAGCACACCGCTCCCCTCCGCCGTCTCTGCGGGCCGCCAACCCCCCCCACAGCGGATGCCGCTTGACCGCGGAGTTCGTTCCGTGCGCGCTTGGAGCGCTGCCGTCCCGCCGCCGCCGCGGGAGGCCCTTCCTCTTCTCCGCTAGGTGGTCGCACGTACGAGCGGCGCGCGAAACGAACGGAGATGCGGAGGGGGAGTTGGCGGGTGAGGGAGAGTATGTGCTGGGGGTGCGCGTCTCCGCGGAAGGAGCACGGGCGGGGGGGAGCGGAGAGGGACTGGCGGGGCGGGTGGTGTTGGTGACCGCGCCTGCGCCGTACGATGCGGCGCTGAGCGCGGCAGTGCGGGCAGCAGGCGGGGAGGCAATAGTGTGCAGCATGGTGGAAACAGATGTGGCGGATGAGTCTTGTACAAGACGAGTGGAGACATTCCTGGTGGGGGCAGGGGCAGGGCGGCAGGGAGAGGACGCAGGAGCAGCGAGTGAGGGAGTGAGTGAGGGAGCGAGGGAGGGAGTGAGGGAGGGAGTGAGTGAGGGAGTGAGGAAGAAAGTGCGTGTGGCAGTGGGTGACGTGGCAGCCATAGCGTTCACGTCTCGGAACGGCATCATGGCTTTCGCCAGCGCCGTGCAGCGCTTGCCACCGCACATACTGCCAGCTGCTTGGGGGGGCACAGACGCTCCCAGTCAGCATCAACAACAACCCCTGCAAACACGAGAGGAGGAACGAGTGCAGCAACAGCTGCAGCAGGTACTGCAGAAACAACTGCAGCAACCGTCGCAACTGCTGCCGCAAAAGCTGCAGCAGCAAGAAGTGCAGCAGCAACTGGAGCAACAACTGCAGCAGCAGCCAGAAGAGGAAGGGGAGCAGGACCAGCAGCAGCAGGGGCAGCAGGGGCAGCAGGGGCAGAGCGGCACCCCACTCAACACTGCGCAGCCTTACCTCCACATCGGAGCTCTCGGTCGAGATGCGGAGCTCCTCCCTTCTCTCGGCCCCATCTTCTCGCACCCCTCCACACGCCTCATTCTGCCACCTGTCGCCACGCCATTGGCCCTAGCAGACGCGCTGGGGCCAGGGCATGGGCGCATAGTAGCATGCCCGGTGCCGCGGGTAGAAGGGGTGGAGGAACCCCCCGTGGTGCCCTCATTCCTGCGCGCTCTACAGAAGAGGGGCTGGCGAGTGCTGCGCCTCGACTGCTATGTCACTCGATGGACTGGGCCCCGTGCCCTCTTGCCTGTCATCAGCAGCCCGAAGGAAGAGCAACTGAGAGAAAAGCAGGGGGCAGGAGATGGTGGGGAGGGGGAGGGCGATGAATGGGTAGGGGGGTTGGAGTTGGGAGACGCAGGCGACCCAGGACAAGCACGAGAAGCAGGCGGTGGGGCGGGGCTGAGCATGCATCCGTCAGTGGCAGCAGTGGTGTTTTCCAGCACAGCTGAGGCGCAGGGCTTCGTTGCGTGCTGTGAGGCCATGGGCGTGGACCCCCTGCAACTGCTGGAGAGGGACGAAGGGCATGATCATGCTGATGCCGATGCTGATGATGATGATAATGTTGATCATGCTGTTGTTGCTGGTGGGCATAGGTGCCGGAAGGTGGTGGTGGCAGCGCATGGGCCCGTGACAGCAGCAGGCGTGCGCAGTGTGGGGCTGCCAATGGACGTGCAGGGGGAAAACTTCAGCAGCTTTGCTGGCGTCGTGAATGCACTCGCTGCTCATTTTGACCTCTTGGGTTGACTTCTGTAAGGAATTTTATTCCTTACCGGGTTTTACTGCAATCGCGTACAGCCGAACTCTTGGAAGACCAGGCTCGGTCCGATTCCGACGCAACCCCGAGGCTGGCTCGCACCGCCTCCGGCCCTTTCTGTCAAACATGTGTATTTGTCATGTTTGTATAGACTGTATAGAGTCACCTCTTAGAGGATACAAAACTTAGATATATTTGTGTGTACTCTCACTTTACCTTTATTCAATTATTCTGATATGGTATCACGCGTAGGTAGGATCCCCCCCCCCCCACCTACCGCTTCCGCTCATGCCCCCTAGCGCCCCTCCTGGGCCTCGTCGCGCTCCTCCCAGGCCCCGTCGCGCTCCTCCCAGTCCCCCTAGCGCCCCTCCTGGGCCCCATCGCGCTCCTCCCAGGCCCCGTAGCGCCCCTCCTGGGCTTCGTAGCGCCCCTGCCAGGCCCCGTCGCGCCCCTCCTGGGCTTCGTAGCGCCCCTGCCAGGCCCCGTCGCGCCCCTCCCAGGCCCCGTCGCGCTCCTCCCAGGCCCACTAGCGCCCCTCCTGGGCCCCGTCGCGCTCCTCCCAGGTCCCGTAGCGCCCCGTCGCGCCCCTCCTGGGCCCCGTAGCGCCCCTCCTGGGCCTCGTCGCGCCCCTCCTGGGCTTCGTAGCGCCCCTCCTGGGCCCTGTACCGCCCTCCCAGGCCCCGTCGCGCCCCTCCCAGGCCCCGTCGCGCCCCTCCCAGTCCCTCTAGCGCCCCTCCTGGGCCCCGTCGCGCTCCTCCCAGGCCCCGTAGCGCCCCGTCGCGCCCCTCCTGGGCCCCGTAGCGCCCCTCCTGGGCCTCGTCGCGCCCCTCCTGGGCTTCGTAGCGCCCCTCCTGGGCCCTGTAACGCCCTCCCAGGCCCCGTCGCGCCCCTCCCAGGCCCCGTCGCGCTCCTCCCAGGCCCCCTAGCGCCCCTCCTGGGCCCCGTCGCGCTCCTCCCAGGCCTCGTAGCGCCCCTCCTGGGCTCTTTCGCGCCCCTCCTGGGCTCCGTAGCGCCCCTCCTGGGCCCCGTCGCGCCCCTCCTGGGCCCCGTCGCGCCCCTCCTGGGCCCCGTAGCGCCCCTCCTGGGCCCCGTCGCGCCCTCCTTGGGCCCTGTAGCGCCCCTCCTGGGCCCCGTCGCGCCCCTCCCAGGCCCCGTCGCGCCCCTCCCAGGCCCCGTAGCGCCCCTCCTGGGCCTCGTCGCGCCCCTCCTGGGCTTCGTAGCGCCTCTCCTGGGCCCCCCGTCGTGCCCCTCCTGGGCCCCGTAGCGCCCCTCCTCGGCCGCGTCGTAACCGTCGCCGCCGCCCGGCCCCGTCGTGCCCGCCCGGCGCCGTCGCGCCCGCCCGACCCCGTCGCCGCCGCCCGGCCCCGTCGCGCCCGCCCGGCGCCGTCGCCGCCGCCCGGCCCCGTCGCGCCCGCCCGGCGCCGTCGCACCCTGCCCGGCCCGTCGCGCTCGCCCGGCCCCGTCGCAGCCGCCCGGCCCCGTCGCACCCGCCCGGCCCCGTCGCACCCTGCCCGGCCCCGTCGCACCCGCCCGGCCCGGCCCTGTGATAGAGACCCGTCACCGCTCCATCGCCCAGGCGAGCGGTGTCGTGCCGGTCCCTATCTTTCAGGGTTGTGCCCCCGCTCAGTGTACCTTCTCCGACGGCTCTGCCGCAGTGGCTGAGACTGCTGCTGCAGCGCAGGCCCGTTCTGGGAAGGGCCGCCGCCCCAAGGCTGGGCGCGGCGGAGGGGGCGGCGGGGGTGCGGGCGGGGGTAGTGGTGGGGTCGGGTCGCCTGGTGCTGGAGCGGACGAGGGGACCCTGCCCAGTCCAGCTGAGTCGCCGCCCTGCAGTTGCAGCAGCCGCAGCAGCCGCCGCAGTCGCAGCCTTCGCAGCAGCCGCAGCAGCCGTCGCAGACGCGGCAGACGAGTGTTCTCCCGCCAGGGTGGCCCGGCGCTGGCGGTGGACGGGCGCGTGGTGGTGTGCCGCGTGGTGGCTCTGCCGGCGGGCGTTGTCAGTACCAGATCCAGACCGGTCCTCGCCGCGGTTTCGTTTGCGGTAAGATCGGTCACTCCACTCCCCGCTGCTTTCGTCGCCTGGACGACCTCTTTCGTCAGCGTTTCGGCCCGTCGCCAGACCTCCCGGACTGGCACAGTTTGCTTAGTCGTCAGATTCAGATCTTTGATATGGACATGGATGCCATTGTTTCTGCTCTGCATGTGATGTATGCTGATGACTCTAGTGTGCTTCCGACTTATTACTCACTGTTGCCTAGTGTAGGTGTGCCTAGCTTAGCCTCCCCTGCTGCGTCAGGCGTAGGATCCCCTGCTTTGTGTAGTCTTGGTGCTTCTGCCGTCGTTCCGTCGCCAGACCCCTCGGCTTCGCTTTCCTTCACCTTGGACTCTGGCGCCTCTCGGTGTTTCTTCCGCGACTCCACCACCCTGACGCCGCTTCCTGTTCCTGCTGCCGTTTCTCTTGCTGACCCCTCCGGCGGCCCGGTAGTCGCCCGCAGTTCCACCACCCTTCCCTGTCCGGCGGTTCCTTCGGGCTCTCTTACAGGTCTGCATATCCCCTCGTTCTCCAGGAACCTAGTTGGTGTCGGCTGCCTCCAGGACCTTGGCGTCACCACTACGTTCCCTGGTCACGAGCGGTATGCTGTCTGTACCGAGGCCGCCACTGGTGCCCCCCTGTCCATGTTCCCCCGGGACCCGGTGTCCGGCCTGTTCACTCTGGACACCGTGCCCCCCCCGGCTGGAGCGCCCCCTCAGGTGGCTGTGTCTACCCAGGTTGCTGCTGCCTGCTCCTGTCGCTCCCTCACTCACCCGACCCTCCTGTGGCACCACCGCCTAGGTCACCCTGCGCTCCCGCGTCTGCGTCACATGTCCCAGCACGGTCTTGTCCTTGGTCTCCCAGGTTCACTCCCTGCGTTTCCCTCCTCCCCAGCTCCACCTTGCACGCCTTGTGTCGAGGGTCGGCTTCGCCGTGCCCCTCACTCCTCCTCGTTTCCCCATACCGCCGCGCCGCTGCAGACCCTGCACCTGGACGTCTGGGGCCCCGCCCCCGTCCCTGGGCCGCGTCGCGAGCGCTACTTCCTTGTGCTTGTCGACGACTTCACTCGTTACACCACAGTCTTTCCCCTGGAGCGCAAGGCCGACGTGCCTGGCGCCCTCATCCCCTGGCTTGTCTCTGCGCGTGTCCACCGCGGTCTCCCTGTCTTGCGTCTTCACTCAGACCGTGGTGGCGAGTTTGCCTCAGGTGTCCTTGGTCGCTTTTGTCGTGCGGAGGGCATCACCCAGACGTTCACCCTACCGGACTCCCCACAGCAGAATGGGGTCGCTGAGCGACGCATCGGCTTGGTCATGGAGGTCGCTCGCACCTCCATGGTCCATGCCGGTGCACCCCATTTTCTGTGGCCGTTCGCTGTGCGCTACGCTTCTCACCAGCTTAACCTGTGGCCGCACCCTCAGCAGCCGCAGGTTTCGCCGACCCGTCTGTGGACTGGGTCTCCTGGTGACGCGTCTGCGTTCCACGTCTGGGGCTGCCTTGCTCACGTCCGTGCCTCCGGCACGGACAAGCTCACTGCCCGCACCCTTCCCTGCGTCTTCCTCGGTTTTCCCCTTGATGCGTCCGACTGGCACTTTTACCACCCGCCGTCTCACCGCTTCTTTCACTCTCGTGACGTCACCTTTGACGAGTCCGTCTCCTACTACCGCCGCTTCCCCCACCGTGGTCCCCCGGTTACCCCCCCCTGTCCTGGTCACCCCTTCCCCGGTAGTCCCTGCCCCTCCTCCTCCTCCTCCTCCCGTCCCGCCCCCTCTGGTGTCTCCCATGTCACCCCCCTTCCGTCCGTGGACCCGGTTGAGGAGTCTTCTGACTCTGGTGGCCCTCCGGTGCAGTCCTCGCCGGCCGCCCCTCCCCAGGTGTCCCCTCCCCAGTCCCCTCCTCCGCCGCCCTGCCGCCACTGCAGCCGTCGCCGTCGCCGCGCCGCCGCCGCCGCCGCAGTCGCAGCCCCCGTTCGCTGACTCTGGGGGTGCTCGTCCCGGTCGCCCTGAGGGTGGTCCCTCTGGGGGTGCGGGTGTGGAGAGTGCCGGTGGTAGCCGAGGAGCAGCTTGCGGTCCAGGTGTCGCCGTTGTGCCGCCGCAGCAGCAGTCCCCGCCGGTGTCCGCCCTTCGCCTGCTCGGCCTTCCGTCCCCCGACCCTGCGTCGGTTCCTCCCCGACCGTCTCCTCCTCTTCCTGTCTACGGCCCTGTTTTCCCTCCGCCAGACTCGTCCCCGGCCCGTCTCCCCCCTCGTTCCCCTCCTGTGTCCCCTCCCCTGTCTCCTGACCCGACTCCTCCATCGCACGTCTGGTCTCACCGTCCCTCCCGTGCTCGTCCTGCCTCGCCTGTCCTGCGCTCCCACCCTATGTTGCTTCGTTCACACGCGTCTCGTCCTCCCCTTCTGCCGTCGCCTCCTCCGTCCTCCCTTGTTGTTGCGCCCCCCCGCTGTCCGACTACCTTCGTGCCGCTCGTCCTCTCGTTCCTCGGGTCCTTGCCTCTCTCGTTACCGACCCGTCTGTTCCAGTCTTGTGCCTTGACGCTCTTGTCGCTGCTGTCGCTGACTTCGCCTCTACCCGCCGCCTTGACTACGCCACCGCTCTGGTCTCTGACCCTGCCTGTCCTCCGTCTGTCGGGGGTGCTCCTGCCCTTGGCAGTGACGTCCTGGAGGACCGCCAGTTCGAGCTTGCTTTCCTCTCCGAGGCTGCTCCCCATCTCTGTTCCATGCTGCTAGTCCCTGAGGGTGACCCAGACGCTTTCGACATCCCGACCCCTCGCACTTACGCTGAGGCGACTTCGGGACCCTGGGCCTCGCAGTGGATAGCTGCCATGGAACAGGAGATGGCATCTTGGAGATCCACCGGCACCTTCGTCGACGCAGTTCCCCCACCTGGGGTGAACGTAGTCGATGGCCGCTGGCTCTTCAAGGTGAAGCGCCCTCCTGGAGAGCCGCCTGTCTTCAAGGCGCGCTATGTGGCTAGAGGCTTCAGTCAGCGTGAGGGGGTGGACTTCTTCCAGACTTTCGCTCCGACCCCGAAGATGACTACTCTTCGGGTTCTGTTACACCTAGCTGCTCAGCGTGACTACGAGCTTCACTCCCTCGACTTCTCCACTGCCTTCCTTCAGGGCAGCCTACACGAGCAGGTCTACCTGCGCCGCCCTCCGGGCTTTACTGGCACCTTCCCTCCTGGGACCCAGTGGCTCCTGC